TAGACGGTGTTCGAATCGCAAAGCTCTATATTTCAACTATTTTAGTCAACTTAAGTCGGTCGGCGCGAGTTCCGACCGCCGCCGCGTGAGGGCCACGCGGCGAAGTATCAGCCCGTATTCAAGATTAGTCCAGCGCTACTATAAGTAGGGTTCCGCAAAATCGTCCAGCATCTTCTGGCTTGAGTTAGAGCGAGTACTATAAAGGACCTCTTTTCTATCATTCTACGTATTGTACTTTTAGTTAACGTTCCATTTTTTGTTAACTTATTGGGCATTGATGATCATAAAATATTTTTTAGTTATCGCAATGCTCAAATAAGTTAACAAAAAAATGACATATTAACCATTCAAAAGTTGACTATTCGGTAACGTGCCAATTTTTATTAGCTTGATTAACAATAGCCGATTGTTTTCGAGACATTTGTTGACTGTTAGTTGACATTTAGATTAGACTAAAAAGTCGACTCTTGACTTCTCTAGTCTACTTATAGTCTATTAGGTTGTTCGGAAAGTAATTTCGTTTTTTTTATGAAAATGAAAAACGATATTTTTATAGTGAATAAATATTTTATTGAATTATATATTGTCCATTCTGGTCCAATATCTTTTTGCCATCTTTCTGGCAGTAGCATGATTCCACGCTCATAAAATTTTTGTTCTTTGCTGGCAAAAAACTGATCCAGGTGATTTTTGACTTCCTCATTTGAAGTAAAGCTTTTACCGTCTAAAAAATTTTGTAGAAACCGGAACAAATAATAATCAGAAGATGCCAGATCTAGAGAATATGGTGGGTGTGGCAGTATATCCCATCCAAGCTGTAAAAGCTTTTGGCGAGTTACCAAACTTGTATGAGGTCTCGCATTATCTTGGTGGAACACTACACCTTTTCTATTGATCAATTCTGGCCTTTTCTGTTTAAGTGAATCATTCAATTTGTCCAGCTGATGACAGTACACTTCAGAATTGATCGTTGTGTTGTCCGGTAGAAGCTCAAAAAAAAAACGATTCCTTTGAAATCCCACCAAACAGATAGCATCACCTTTTTTTGATGAATATCGGCTTTCGAAGTGCTTTGAGCCGGTTCATCTTTTTTACTCCATGATCTCTTGCGTTTAACATTGTTGTAGACAACCCATTTCTCGTCCCCAGTGATGATGCGCTTCAAAAATGGATCATTTTCTTGACGTTTGAGACGCAAATCACAGACGTCAATGCGACGGCACAAATTTCTTTCCGAAAGAACATGAGAAACCCATATGTCGAGCTTTGAGATTAAATCTAGGCGTTTCAAATGATCATGAACGGTCGAATTCGATAAATTTAATCTCTCAGCGATCTCACGAGTTGTTATTCGCCGGTTTGCATCAATTAATGCCTTTATTGTGTCTTCATCAGGCCTATGTTCAGGCTTGTGTTCTTCAACTGGCCTTCCAGAACGTGGTGCATCTTCAACATCAAAATTGCCGGATCGAAATTTTGCAAACCAGTTTTGGCACTGGAGTTCTGTCAATACATCTTCTCCATACACATCGGATAATTTTTTTCTTACTTGAACAGAATTTTTATCTTTACGATAGTAAAAAAGTAAAATATGCCGAAAATGCTGCTTTTCACTTTCCATATTTGATAGGGCACCAACTAAAAACTACTGCGTAGAATCAATCGAACTTTTTTCACAAGCAAGCCTTGCTATATCAGCTGTCAAAATATATAATGATTATGCGGCTTAAGTGTGAAGTTGGCTGTGAAAAAATACAATTAAGTCCTCTGTTGGGAAAAAACGAAATTCTTTCCGAACAACCCAATATTTTCAGTTGACTTTGTATTGTTTGAGAGTCGACTTACAGTAAATGACTGTAAATCGACTTAGAATGTCGACTGTTAGTCAACTTTTGTTGAGACATTTATCAAATATTAATCGGCTATTATTAGTCGACATTCGGGCTGGCTTTGAAATCGACTCTTGACTTTTTCAGTCAACTTATAGTCGACTAAAAAAAAAGTCGACTTCGTGTTGTTTGGGATGTTTGTCAAAATGAAGACGCCGGGGCGAACGTTTTTTTCGCTTCGGTCTGAGTTAATTTTAAAATAATTATTGCTAGTCTAATTTTAATCGTATTGACCCCTTCTTATTTTCCCGAGGGCAGGTGTTATTTATTAAAAAAGAGTAAATAATAATTTATTGTATCACACCGTGTCATTTGTGTCGCTTGTTGGAAGGCATACACTATTGATGCTTCAATTGACTGTTGCGAAGCGTTACGACTGGCGAGTGTTTGCAATTTATTGTAGACACTGATGAAATACTATTAAAGACCGTTGGCCCTGAACAAATTTTCATGACTATCAATGGGGCCCCAATTGAAGAATAATAACATTACCGATAATTCATAAAAATTTATATAATATATCAATAACATAAATATTTTGATAATATTAATGTTACGTCCGGCGGACTCACGCGACTCTTTTCTTTCATAAAGATCTCGAATTCCTCGAAGCTCTAAAATTTTATATTCTTTCCTTTTTTATTTTTCATCTTAAAACCTAAGAATCCGTTATCTCCTCATGAATGTCGCTCCGAGATAAAAATCAATATGTATGGAAAGCGTAAGACTAATTAACGCCAAGATTAACGATCAAGTCGCGAAACGATTCTCGCGAATTCGTAATTATAAAATTTAAGAAACGGCACGCGACGTTCAGGGGTAGATTCTGGGTGGTCCCGTGGCGACGATGCATCCGCGACCTTTCGGCGCCCGAGACGTACGTTTCCCCATAAATCTTAGGGTCATAAAATTTTGGAGTTT